ACAAAGCCTCTACCTCAGATAAAAACCCACCTACCGCAACTTTGCAAGTTTTTTCCATGAATTAATTCATAATAGGTTGATAATAGTTTAATCACTGTGTTCTAGCCCTACGCACAGCCGGACAAGATAACATTTACATTGTGTTCAAGGTGAACCAAGCGGATATGCTTGACGGAGGCTAAGTCCTAGGCTGGGACCATTCCTAACCTAGATAGGAATAAGAGCGGGGAGCGGGTTACATTGTGCCATTGTTGCAGAGAATTCAGTAGCATTAGTCGTCGCGCATTATCCGTAAACGAACGAAAGTCGCTGACATAGCCCGATGGATTAGCAAGCTAAAGTGGCAATGGGCAGGGCACATAGGGAGACTGGGTACGGTTGAAACAATTTTGCTCTTATTGTCTATAATTTTGTTGTTTAATAACCAAGTGACGATTACGATACGTGAAATTGAAATTTGAAGTTTTAGCTATGATATGGCTGTATCATTATAGTTCCCGGGTTACTATTTATAGAAATATACGCAATTTAAAAAAAAAGAAATTTTGTTTCAACCGTCCCCATGCCAGGGGCGGTTGAAACAGCGATTGGGATCTGTTGAACATACAAATAATACAATAAGTACTAATAAAACGTGTTTTATTTATCTATACAATATACAGTGTGAGTCACGTTAAAGTGTACATATGAAAATAGATGAAACTAGACCTATTTTTATCGACAATAAAGAGGTCAAAAAATTTTTGAGTCTTTTTTTTAATTTTTTATAGAATTTTTTTTCTTCAAATTACTTATTGTAAAGAAAACGTAATAACTTTTAAACTAAGCGGTATATCCTGATAAAATAAAAACAGTAATAATGCTAAATAACAGGCGATACTAAAAAAATACTTAGAATACACAAAAAATGCCAACAAATATGAAAAAATGATACTTTTTGAAAAAAATCTGCTTAAAAATTCGTGTTTTTTTGGTTATTTTATAAATTTCTCAAAAAAATGCCCCTATAACTGGTGGTTTTTATTACTTTGTATTATTTTCCATCGTATTATCTTTGTAAAACCAAAAATCGCATGTCTCTATCCCTATCACAACATTTGCTATGATCGTTTGAACAAAGGCCTGCCACAACATTATTCTCCGTTACAGGTAGAGACAATTTTAATTTTAACTAAAATGTTTAATTTACCTCGAAATCTTTTGTTTTTATTTGAAATCTAACTTGTCTTTATCAAAATTAAAAATCTAGAGCCATTTTCAGTTTTGTTGTTAACGAAGCGTTGAATGGCGCGCCCGGAGAGGCTTAGTTCAAACGATCATTGCAAACGTTGTGATAGGGATAGAGACATGCAATTTTTCGTTTTACGAAGGTAATATGATAGAGAATAATACAAACTAATAAAAACTACCTGTTTTAGCGGCATTTTTTGGAGAAATTTATCAAATAACCAAAAAAACACGAATTTTTAAGCTGATTTTTTTCAAAAAGTATAATTTTTTATTATTTGTTGGCCTTTTTTGTGTANCCTCTCACTTGAATAGGTCTTGGAGTATGTTTGAGCCGATAACCTGACACTTTAGGTGCCCTATCTTCTTCCCCTACTCTGAGCCACGTCTCATTTATGGCCATCACGTCTGGGTTCAGTTATTCAGTTCCTCCATCGCCACCATAAACTCGTCATGCCTCGTGCACAGTGAGCCCGCATTGAATAGACCTATTCTAAGATTGTTTAACCCAAGGCCTGTATTAGTGTTAAATTATATAAACACCATTGTATTACAATATTATTTGTAGTATTAATTATGTTAATATCACGCCTTTCAAAGGAAGCAGTCAATATTATGTGTATCATCATTATCATCATACTATTATTGTAATTCTGTGTGCACATATCAATTTCTATAAATATATTGACACAAAGTGACCAGTCTAAGCATACCATCTGAGTTTTATTCAATGAGGACTTTAACAATCCACAACAATAACATAAAGTAAAAAAGGGCAGTTTCAGACATTTACAAGGTCTGCATAATAATATATAGGTGAGTAAAACTAAATAAAAAGAAGGCATACACAGATCAAACCCTATAAGGAACATGAAACTATTATANCGTCAACGCCTTAGAAAGTTTTAGGCACTAAATTCGTGTTCGGACCTGTTGTCCGCCTTTTTTTCCCCTAGGAACCCTAACTCCCCGTGGAACCGTTTACGAAATATTTGCTCTGTTTCAACCGTCCTTTGTTTCAACCGTACCCAGTCTCCCCTACGAAGAATTGACGAGCGATGGGGAAGCAAGGTTCTGGAATGGAGGCCGCGTACCGGAAAACGCAGCGTGAGACGTGGGACCACCCACAAGGTGGACCGACGACATCATAAAGGTAGCAGGGAAGCGCTGGACGCAGGCCGCTACCAATCGATCAACATGGAAAGCATTGGGGGAGGCCTATGTTCAGCGGTGGACGTCCTACGGCTGAAAAGATGATGATGATGAGTCGATGCGCGTCTGTCTAAACTTAGCCTCATATTCGAGGGTCATCATCATATCAGCCATAGGACGTCCACTGCTGAACATAGGCCTCCCCCAATGATTTCCACAATGACCGGTTGATAGCGGCCTACATCCAGCGCCTTATAAGGTTACCTTTATGAGTTCGGAAGATATGTGCCGTAGATCACACATCAAGACTTCTTGCACATGTTCTTTAAAATCTTATTGATACTTATTTTCTATCGTTCCTATATTATACCAGCTATGTTCTGAATAGTAGTCTTTCTATAAACGTGGGGTCTGCCTGTCATCGCCATTATCGGGTCATTGTCAATGATCTTGCTAAATATAAATCTCAACTGCAGGATTACGGCCCTCTTCCAATTTACCATAAACAAATGGGAGATCGATGGAGGAATCTGATTTAAAAATTAAAATTGGTAGATCATTGGATTGGCTGTCTAAGGATTCTGGCAATGAACTAAAAAGCCAATCAAAATGTAATATCATCCTATCAAGTATGCTATAAAATGTGAACCTTCTGTCTGTTCCTGCATTGTAATCTTGTGGCTTGTAATGTTTTCTGCGTTTTAATCAATCAATCATCATCTATATGTGGCAACAATACAAGTACCTACATCAAGGAGGACGAAGTCATGGCGAAACAACAAGCTAGGTAAATTAATATGAATTAAAGCATGATGTACAGACAGCATGAAAAGTAATGCAAACGGAATATAGCAAACATCTCTTATCTTATGGAAATACATAAAAATTTAGTTAACTTGATGGAAAAGTCGCTATTGTCACTTCGGATGGGTCAATGAAATTTTAATATCTGCAAATGTTTTATTCTACTTTTTTACTGTCTGTACCTAAATCGATAAAAATAAGAAGATATTGGATATTAGGAATGTAAATTTCTTGAATACTCTTAATTATTTGTTTAAGGTAAGTTTTTTAAGTCATTTCAACAAAAAAAAACTTCCACAAGTACCTATCTATTTTTAAACATTTTTTGCATTAGTTTTAATCTAAAAAAGATCATGACACTCTAAATATATCTACTGAACTTTATGGAACCTTTAAATGACCGTGATAAAATGCAGACTAATGGCGTCGCTTAATTTAACGTATTATTACCTAAAAATATATTTTTGTGGAAACAAGTTTGCCTTAGAGGGCGAAGAGGCTACAAAAAGTATAGTTCCATAGTCATACCAATATCGGAAATGCAAAAGTAGCTGTTTGTTACGTTTTTGCCCTGAAACTACTCATCAAATTTAAATAAAAGGTACAGAGAGACCCAAGGATAGAAATATACTAGAGTTATTAAAATTTCTTAGCGATTAGAGTCGCTTCTCATCCAGTGTCTAAGTAGCTCAGATTTCCATCTGTCGCCCGGCAAGCGAAAGGTCGTGGGTTCGATTCCCGCCTTAGGTAGTTCGGTTGTTTACCTATTCATACTAGAGTTGTTATCCTGGTTTTTCAAATAGGGACATGCGCAAGTGTCTGTCCTATGTGCCAAGGGAGGCCTTGATATGATATTTGTCCCGTAGTAACCTTTTTCGACATCTTTTTTTTTATGCATAAGAAGGCAGGTATTTGACCACAAATCGCACCTGATGTTAAGTGGGATGCAGTCTAGGATGGTACATATCTGGGAGAGCATATCCTATTGCGTAAGCTCGAAATCGAACTCTAGCTCACACTGAAATTAGTATTTGTAAGTATCTGAACCACTGAGCTGAGCATAAGACAAATAATGTAGGTACAATAATAAAATCACACGATAATATCTCACGATTATTTACGATCTTCTTCCTATTAGATATTATTGCACATTTGTAACAAACAGATAATATGCATCGCGATAACTGCAGTTGTATTGCAGTTTAAACGAATATGACTTGCAATTGATATTACATTACATTGACGTAGACTCAATAGTTATTTACATTTTTCTGGTGTTGAATTTCAATGATGCAGCTGTACAGTGAAACAATTGAAGACTCCATTAGATCAGGAGGTATAGTTAGTGTTGAGTCATTAAAGACAGGACAGTGTGTGTTAAATTGAGAACGTTGTTAGGAAAGTGTAACAAATATTAATTATTTTTATAATTAGAATGGTTAAATATTAAGCCTGAAAAAAATATTTTCTTTCATGATATCAGAACTGAAAAATTTTTGTCTTGCATTTGGATAAAAGTTTAACATTTTACCTGTATTGCAGTTATAAGCAAAACCTAGGTACCTATGCATTTTGTTTAAGAAAATCAATCTTATCTCGTTATACATAGTATAACATTGTTGTCAGGTAGGCTATGCTTTGTTTTTCCAGACAATATGAGCTAAATAGTAAATAGTGTTCCATCATAGAGACTACATGGACTCGAAGCGTTTCAAGAGTTATTGTAGAGTTCCTTAAGCCATAACAGCTATTAAGCTGTAGAGTATAAGAAGACGAAGAAAAATAAACCTTGCCTGGACTAAATAAAGTGTAAATTTGCAGTTGGCGGACGAGCTCCCGGCCCAGCTGTCGGAGCTGGGGCTACGCCCCCGAGCGATGGCCAAGCCCTCCTTCACAGTCCGCACCCTCATCAAAGACGATGAAGAGAGGGCCCTCAAGTTCTTGAGAAGGTATGTTTCTAAACTCAACTCCGTATAAATGACTTGATTTCTGCATTGAGATTTTTGACTTGTAATCAAGATGAACTTTTCATCCCTACTAATATTGTAAATGCGAAAGTAACTCTGTCTGTCTGTGTCGCTTTCACGCCTAAACCTCTGAACAGATTTTGATGTAATTTGGCATGAGATAGATAATTTGAGTCCCGAGAAAGGACATAGGATAGTTTTTATCCCGGTTTTTGAAACGACGCCATTCGACAAAGTTTTTCTATGGCATACAAAATGTCACGAGTGCGAAGCCGCGGGCGGAAAGCTAGTATTAAATAAATCCTTGAGTGGAAGATAAGCACGCTCAAGACAGATATCTCAATGCAGAAACAGGGCCAATATAATTTTACTTTTAATTTTACTTCGTTTCGTCAAATCCACCACCATGATCATGATCAAGTGGTTACTAAGTCACATTGACTCTCCCATGTGTGACTCAAATTGGAAATTCACTTTATGGAATTCTTCGGTCTGTTAAGTTTAAATCAACTCTAAAACCGAGTTCGTCCTCCAAAAAAGTGCACTAAAAAGTGAATAAACCTGTATTCAAACATAGGTATTCAATTTATTTATTCTTGATGATAACATTGAATTGACCTTATTAGTAAGAATCAAAGTATCTGGTATAATGCCTTCTAAAGAAACCAGAAACGTGCTTTTTATCTTTGGTACCTACAATAAAAGGTTAAAAAGGGCCAAAGTTTATACAATAAACTATTTTCAAAGTTCACTAAACAACCTCGCACGACAAAAGTTGTCATCGTGGTCATTTTATTACTTAAAAAAGTACCTACGAAGTGATAAAAATTTCAAATTCACCTCATTTTATGACTGAGCTTCAAGGTGAAGCAAAATGTCATAGAAAGGTCCAAACAAAAGTCCGGCTTCTCCTGTCCTGTGATTACCTACTAGTAAGCAAAGTAAAGCACTTAATAAATGACTCACAAGGAAGTTACGCGTCTTTTCTTTAAATTAAGTATAATAAATGAATAAGAAACACTACACTCAGCGACTTCAAATGATTTTGTTTACTTTTTTGACTACTGGAAATTAGAAGGGCAGTTGATGCCTAGGAAAATCTTTCCAAAGCAACAAAAAAATGCGACCAGCTGAATTTTCATTATTTAAAAGTTTTTCACTTACAATTCACTCTAATTGGTATAGAGCCAAGTTTGATATCAACTTGGACTTAATTGATTTTCATCATATATTTTTCGCTTTTCACCAGGTTTTTCTTCCGAGACGAGCCCATGAACCAGGCTGTGAACCTCCTGGAGACTCCTGACTCCAGATGCCCAGAGCTGGAGGAGTACTCCGCCAGTTCCATCGACCAGGGCAACTCCGTGGTGGCGGTCGACGAGGCAGGAGAATTCGTGGGGCTGATCATCAACGGAATCGTTAACAGAGAGGTGAACATTAGCATAGTTCTTGCAACTCACGAAGGCGAGTGAGCTTTACTTGTGTGCGTACGTGTATGCACATAACGAAGTGTAATGCCTATCAAAACTTGAAAAACGAACAGTAGCGAGCCACCACACGTGCACACATGTAAAGCTCACTCGCCTTCGTGAATAATGCAATTATTGCAAAAACTATACTTACCTACCAAGTAATATCTTATTCCAGCTAAGTAGTACTGGTCCAAAAAGCCCAAAGCAAAAAGTGCACATTAGCCTAAAATACATGTTGTATTTTTTTATGGGACAGGAGGCAAACGAGCAGTTACCTACACATTAGCATAAAAATATGTTGACAATGCCTGTGTAAGTTTTTTAAATAAAAACTCATATAAATGTCACCAAGGATACAGCAATTTAAAATTAAAAAAATACAAAGCAAAAAATATGTAAGTATTAAATAAACAATTATAAGGCAAAAATAGTACATAGCTCTACCTTTTTTATTCCAATTTGCAAAACCTCTAGCGTGTCCTTGTGAAGCAATCAAGTTTCAAGATGGAAAGATCTCGATTCAAGATTGATCGATATTGCTTCCTTTCAAAAAGTTACTGCTTGTTATATCTAACTGAATACATTCAGGGTGAGACTTCAAGTGATTGGAAGTTGCAGGTACCGATACGTGGATTATAGATCGAGAAACCTCTTCAGTGAAACCAGACGTGACAGTTTTTTTGATCCTTCCATATTTCGAAACTAAAGCCTCCTTATAAGATATATCATAGCGTAATTGAATTGCAATATAATTGTCTGTATTCACTTCCGTGCAGGTGTGCTTGAGCCACTGTTGGCATAGGCTCTGATTTTTAATTACACTTGATCACTTGGTTTAGTCACGCTGTAGTAAATAAGTTTCAAGTATGGCTGGTGATTAGTACCTATACCTACTAGGGCAGGCTGCCGATTCATTGTGGTTTGAAGCCTAAGTACAAGAAAATTCTAAACTTCTCTATCTAGTAAACTTTCTTGTGTACCTATCTACTGTCCTTTAACTGTGATTTTAGTGAAATATGAATAGGAAAATTAGAATACAATGAGACTGATGAAGACACGTTTTAAACAGTTACAATGTGATCACTGTACTTATCTAACTAGTAAGATCCATTTTTCTCTGCTCTCCTCTAGACAAAGTTACCTTCGTGACAGATTAAAATTTTGTGATCGTTACACGAAGCAAAGCACTTAACTATCTACAAAAAATATAGCGATCGTTGCAACAATATTATTATTATGTAATACCTACTCGTATTTATGTGAGCTTAGCTTTAAATCTAGCTGACTAACTGTCAGCAATCTGTTTAAGTTAAAAATAAATAATTGCTAAGAAATAAGTAATTACGATACTGATAAGTTGAAGTCATGTTAATAAATTAATATTGGTTGTTTAAAAAACAATCAGTACAACCAAGAACTATCGACAAAAAAACGAATAACAGTAGTACCTAATTCAAACAAAAAACCAGTACAAAACGGCTCCTGGTGTTGACTTAATATGATTTATAACGAGAGCTTGAATACAACTTGTAAAATTAACCGCATGATCGATGGAAAAGAGAAACAGCCTTTATTAATCAAGTTGTGATTAAAATATTTGTTCCTTCGTACATTAGTCGAAACGTTAGATATTCGGAAGATTATAAAACGTCCTTCGAAACCACCAGTCTGAAACTCGTAACAGCATTTTTCACAACATATCTACTTACTTCTAGACTGAGAATTATTGTGAGCACTTATATATAGTGTTGGTAAGGGCAAGAGCTGTAAAGAAATCTGTGGTTCCTATGGGGCTATTATCTACCACACACAACCATAAATCTCATGATAGATAAAAAATTGTTCCCGGGTGATACCAGATCGGGCGGCTAGGCTTATATCGTATTATAAACGAGCTAGCTAATATGTTGATGTCTTCTAAGTTGCTTAATTGCTGACACTCTATAACCATGGTGGCTATAAATAATTCTCCATTGTTCTGTTAACAATAACGACTGAAAACCCGTTTTTACAGTGCAACAAAGTTTAATCTCGCTTGGCGAACAAAAGATAATAAATGCAATTGCAGTGGACGCACGTGTCTCGGGTACAAATGACAAAGAAACAATAGGTATTTCTCTAAAACTGTATTTTGAAACTAAATTCCAAGCTCAATTTTATAAAATTATTGAAACTTGTTCATAAGTAGGTTCTGTAGTTTCCGAAATAAGTAAATTACTTAAGTATAGTGTGAATGTAGCAAATTGAACATGCTGAATTACATTATAATTGTCTTTTTATGCTCCTCTTTTATTTGAAACATAATTATCGTTAGCACGTTTTATAAAATGAAGCAAACGACCAGAAATAAACTGTACTTACCAAACTCACTTAATCCAATAACAATAGGAAAGCTTTAAAGCTTTATGTCCCTGAATAATTCAGTTGTAACCTTGAAAAAATATCAGCCCAAATACGAGGACACTTCTTACAAAGAAAACGAGTTTATCCTGCTTTCTGTACCTGACAGGAAATCAATACCTAACAATAACATGGCACACAAAGCCCTATTCGAGGAAAGCTTCAACTTGACGACGAAAGATAATGAGGTTGAAGAAAATGTAATATTAAAGCTTTTTCGCTTTCAACCATACTATTGTTATTTGAAGAAAAGGAAATAAAAGAAGCTTGCGAAGGTTACATTATAAACTGAAAAGAAAACCCGGAAGTAGGTAACAAAGCAAAAAAACTCATTTATTTTTGCAAAACGTGTTGATAAAACTATACCATAAAAACATAATATGCCTAATGTTACATTAAATTCGTTAACGAAAACCTACAAGTGTTGTTAAAGCATGGTAGAACATGCCTGATACGGAAGGTATTGTTCATACTTAATAGTGTTTTGAAAATAAAATGAAATTACTTTTATTAATCTTATTCTGATATGAAATTCAAAACTTAATAACCTTAAGTTTTAAATTACTGTAAAGTAAACCTTTTTACCGACAGTATTATGAGTCCTTACTTGAAATTAAAAAAAGTAATGAGTCATTACTAATGACTATTATTGAGCAATTTAGTTCCACGAGTTCTCAATCGGGAAAATTCTTCAATCAGGAAAATTACCCAAGGACCAAAAGGAAGGTGTCACGGTTGACTAACTGATCTGCTCCAATGCTCTGCACCATAATACCCATGATATCTTACTCAGCACTTATTAGAGGAAACGTAAAAACCAAAACAAACTGGTGATTGACAGAAAAGTACAGTCAGTTAATGACTGATTTAACAAAAGATACACAGCTCAAACGCATTTTTCACTTAAAATAGGATAAGGCGATAATAGTTATGCTTATGTGAAAATTAGTTAGTTAAGCTTAGGTGAAAATTAGTTTATCCAGCATCTCTCAGTATGTTCTTACAACTCAAGAAGGCCAGTGAGCTTTACTTGTGTGGGTACGTGTACATGCACATAAAGATAGTGTAATGTCTGTTAAAACTTTTGGAAAAACGAACAGTACTGAGCCACCACACATGTAAAGCTCTCTCGTCTTCGTGAATTGCAACAACTCTACTATACCAACTTGCAATAATGTGTGTCTGGAATGTCTGGATGGACTTACAGGGCCCAAAAAGTAAGGAGAACGTGTTAGGATCCCAATATTTTTTTAAATCATTGATGTACTACATTAATGATGTAGTTTTTTTTTTAGTTAAAAACTTTTCTAAATGGTCATGTTCCTTACAGGATGTGGACTACTCAGACAAATCCGAGGATTGCCCCAACCCGAAGTTCAGGCGGATCCTCCAGGTGCTGGGACACCTGGACAGGGAAGCCAAGATCTGGGAGAAGCTGCCAGAAAGCTGCCAGAAGGTCATGGAGGTCAGGATCGCGTCTACCGACTCCTCTTGGAGGGGGAGAGGACTGATGAGGGTGCTTTGCGAGGAATCTGAGTAAGTTTTTTTTAAGCTCTTTCTTTGCTTTCTTTCAAGCCGACGTTGTAAGCGACATAATGCAACGCCGCCAGCTGGGTCGCGGTTTGAAATCCGGTGGGGATTTCTTTTAAGTGACATCTGTTATGAAACCTCAATGTAGAAGCTCTACTTATTATAAAACCACAGTAAAACTAGGTGTTGGGTGTGATATTTGTAAATATCATAAAATATCTTACACTAGGTTTGTTTGAGTCTCTTACTAAGTTTTAAGCTACGAGTATGTTCGAGTTGTGCGCCAAAAAATACAATAATCCAAAAATAAAATAATTTGCAACAAATTATAAGTTTATAACACCTAGTCATTAAAAAATGTTTATTTCCTTTCCGTACATTGGTACGCTATGCATTTCATTAATCTATCTGACTCAAAATTAAAATAAGAAGATATATTAAAAATTCTAAAAACTACTACTACTATACTATAACTAGGTTAGTAACACCGATTGACATTGATACCGAAAAGTCTTTGACCCAATGAAAAACTAAGCAGATTTATAATTACTTACTAAAGAATAGAGACTCGTTTAGTTAAAATCTATTCCTACCTAGTATTCTATAAATCTGTCTGTAGTCGCCAATTAGGTACCTGTTTGATGTTGTCAATTTATAATGACTGAGACATTTTATTTCAATGACAAAAAATAGAAGACTGAGTAAGCCGAATCAAGACCGTTTGATACTCAGCAAAAAGTTATGTAATAGATATAATTAACAATATCGATTGTTGTATGAACCAGTAAGTTCAATTCCTACATGCATATAAAAAATTTTATTGACTTTAGTTCCAGGAAATATCAAATAGTGCAAAAACCAGCCACGTGGGTAATGTGATCTGGAAATCAAAAGAATTATATTTTAATAGCTTTAAAAGTGTCATGTAGACAATGTAGAGTTCGATTCGATTTAAGATCCGTGATCGCTCTTACACCACTCAAAGTTATGATGTACAAAATGTAAAAAACGTTAAAAGACATATAAGCTAACGTAGGTATGTATTAAACACCTGTATGGATCTAAACTCCACAAAATCTAAATAGCCTCTGATTGATCCAAAACGGGCAGGACACAGTAGGCAGAACTGACGGCCGATGGGGCAGCAAGGTTCTGGAGTGGAGGCCGCGTACCGGAAAACGCAGCGTATGACGTCCACCCACAAGGGGGACCGAAGACATCATAAAGGTAGCAGGAAGGCGCTGGACGCAGGCCGCTACCAACCGGGCAACATGGAATTTAAAGCATTGGAGGAAACCTATGTTCAGCAGTGGACGTCCTATGGCTGAGATGATGATGATGATGATCCAAAACTGTTAATTAAATATAGAATTTATTGTGTTTCCGCATTCTTGAATTTGAAGGTAATGTAATTGCAAGATACTATTATGATGATGCTTTATCATGTGATGCAATTTTTTCTTATGCATATCAATATTTTCTTTGTAGGTATTAATTCATTTACTTTGACTTTTTCTCTTGTTATGTTAGCGGTATGTCACTAAATGTGATGTGACATATTATGTTAGTCTCTAGCAATACATTACATATAATAATTAATTTAATATTTTTTGCAGACCTTGACTACATTTATGTATTGCAGCCGTAATAATAAGCAACTTACTTATTCATTTGCTCTGTAAACTAGAGTTCGCAAAAAATGCATATCAAAATTTAACATGCATACAGCTTTTAATTGCTCGTATAATAAAGCGAATGTGGTTATGAAACAAAGGCGCTTAAATCTAATTTATTTTTGCAAAAAAATATATGACATTACATAGGCATTCCTACAGTTACGGTCAAATTTAGGTGGTGCAACTCAGCCTTAGTACGCTAGGAAGTGATAATTATTTTTTACTCGTCGATCGTCTTTGTCTTTAGTTTGACTTTACGAACGCCAGAAAAAGATTTCTTTAAACTTAAAAACAAATGAATAATATAATAAGTAATGACAGATGAGGACGAAAAAAATCCACGTATCTCCTACATAAGGTACTTGATACAAATAAGGCCTACCTAACTTTAAATGCTTATATTTCAATAAATATTAACGCCAGTCAACAAAAACAAGGTTAATTAACTTCTTCCATCCTTTAATTTTAGCAAGAATACAAAAAATAACACAATTTTTAACTAAATCTATTCAAAATAAGCAAATTACGAAACCACTGATTTTGGCTTTATTAAATCACCTACACGGAATAAGGCCTATATGATTCAAATGCCTGTAGACCTTAAAATTGAGGTTGTATTAAACAAAATGCGGTAATAAAACATTAAACACGTCGATTTGTTTGCGTTATCAAAATTTTACATACCAAGTAAACAGAAATATACTGTATATCTCTAGATAAACTTAAATTCCACTTATTAAGAATAATACATAAATTATAGATAAAATTAAATATTCATAGTAACAAAGTAATGATTCCTGACTTAAATTATCAAAAAAAAATATCAAAAACAAACAATATTATTTTTTTGTATAGGGCTTATTAAAACACCGTGTTCGAATAAGGCATATTCGAACACGGTGTATATAATATATAACATAAAACCTTTTAAATAAATCAGTTTAGGAACATCATTTAGTCTTGATTTTTTGTAAACAAAATGAGATCTCAATTTTTGTTAGAACCAGGGCATAAAAAGGCTTCTGAATCATCTTTACAAACTCCTACACAATCTTTATGATACCACCAAAAGCAGTCCTTTATGGTAGCATATCTGCTACATTGTCTTCGAGACAAGCATGATAATATCAGCATTAATCCTTTAGAATTATACATACGGCTTTTTTTTCTTATTTTTTATTGGTTTTGTATTTTGTTTCTTTTTTTACAGGTTTAGTATTTTTTTTACTCTGTTTTATTTTTATTTTCTGTGCTGTTAGTAACATTCTTATTAAATAAATATTTAGTTACTCTTTGACTCATTTAGTTTAATGAATTTGTCCGTAATCAGGTGTGGACATAAGTATCCAATATGGCCTACCATGCTGAAATAAGGCCTAGGCCTTATTAGATATTTCGCTCTTGTTGTCTTTAAAATTTACAAATAATGCATCTATAGCCAGTAGTACAAATCCTTTTGTACCCTTTGCACCACCGGCCTGCACCACTGGTGGTGCAAAGGGTATTTTTTAATCCCTTTTGCACCACCAATAGTGCCGCCCTACCATTAACTGTAAAACGATTATCTATAATCATATAATTTTTTAAAATATAAAGAGGAAAGATTTGATTGTTTATTTGTACTGAATAGGTTCCGAAACTACTGGACAGATTTGACAACATAACATAAAAATTAATAACAACCTCATAACTACATACAACGAATAATTTAATTCCTAAAGTACCAGGGCAACATAATCATAAAGGAGCTATATCAAATTCTTCTTGGTTGACCGGAGAAATAAACATGTATCATAAAATAGCTCCTTTATGGTTATGTTGCCCTGGTACTTTATTCGTTGTATGTAGGATGTAGGCCCGGGGTATCGTGTGTCTGAAGTGAAATGTTTATAGGCACTTACACACACACAAATTAAAACTTTTAGGTAGGTTTTGATTTATTTATAACAATTAAATTATTAAGTATTTTACAGTCTACTACTAGTTTTACAGTCGATGGTAGCACAGCACTATTTGTTGGTGGTGCAAGAGGGATTTAAAAATACCCTTTGCACCACCAGTGGTGCAGGCCGGTGGTGCAAAGGGTACAAAAGGGTACAAATTAAGGTAATTATTAGCTAGAAAGAAATATTCAGAAACGATTACTAAGAAAAGCTTAATCTAAAACAGCGTTATTTTACCGAAAATTTAAGATGAAATCGCCAGATTTGTATAAGAGAGCACGAAATCACCCACCACCTTAGAAGAACGCGTGCCAATTGGTGCTGGGATCGTGGACCGGGATGCTCTTGCACTCTACCGGGTTGTAGGGCATATGAGTACGTGTCCTTGAAGTATTATCCCGGTTGGATTTGTTTATCTGTGTTTTCTGATGTATAGGCCTTATTAGAACGTAGGCCTTATTTGTATCAAGTACCTTACCTCAAATAGGTAGGTACCTAATTTTGCGCTGAAAATAACTCGGAATAAATAAAAAAATTAATAGAAATGAAAATAAAAAAGTTACGATCGCATAACACACATAAATTAACATTACAAATGAAAATAAGTAGTGCAAGAACTCCAAATCCTACTGGTTTTAGTACTTATTGCAAAAAATAAATAGGTAGACCAACGGTTGTTAACTGAAATTATTTCGCAAAAAAAAAAATTCAATTAGTCTAATTTACCTGCAACAGTTTTCCGCTAGGAAACTAGGCCTACGAGTACCAGTTCTTTTGTTGAATTAAAGGAAATGATTATCATCCAAAATTCAAAGTAACCTGTGCCTACCATAAGTTATAGAATTGCATAACTAAATTGAATTTTTCATCTATTAATAATATTTAGTTTTTAGTAAAAATATTTAATTGATATCGTAAAGTTAGTACCTACTTCAAATCAATTGGGAAAGCTCCTAGTTGTTTTGAACAGTGACCAAAAATCCGAGACTTTTGTAGACCATTTTTTTTAAACTACACTTAAATAAAACGTAAATTGCTTAATTTATTAAAGCATTGTGGGAACGTTTGGCTCGTCAAAGCTGTACTGCACATTGTTCTGTGACAACAAAATGATCTTAATGAAGACGCGTATTATTATGCAACTGTTGCAATCGCAGTTACGACGTCCCGCGCAATACTGCGACTGAAGGTCTTAATTCAACGAGGGTACAGTGTGCATCAAAAGACTTGACTCTTATGTCTTTAGGAACAAGTTTCTATGTGTGCATCAACTTATGAAAAACCATGCAATAGTAGTTAGAGTTATGCTATCTCAATCTACAATAATATTTGCCTCTGAAACGATATACGATAAGGAATTAGATCATGGTTTATCAAGATCTTGTTAATTCGCAAACATTTACAACAATACATAATAAACAGTTGTTTATTTCAGTTAGTGACAAAACTTAATCCTACCTACTATACCGTGAAGTCTACCTAATTGCCACTGTCAATGGAAGAAACATAGTTAAGTGGAGGCACTCTTATTAGGAAAGCAATCCCTGCTTTCCTAAAATGGTATGATAAAAAATTATAACTAGGTAATAATTTAATGGACAATTAAATGCACGTTTAAGAACGGTTATAAGTAGGAGATACCTAAGTGTTTATTATAATTATCTAGGCCTACTAGTATGATAACTAGGCGCTCGCGCTTGGGTGCAATTTTCTTTAATTTTATGGAGTAAATGAGCTTCATAATTAAATTAGTTGTTAGGGTAACAAGTGTAACAACACTTGAGGATAAGTTAAATTATATGGCAATTTAGATTAAATTAGTTGCAGCCTGCTGTTTTATCAACTAGGCCGTCACGCAAAATAAAGCTATTACTTGCATCATCAAAATAATGATCATCAATGGAACCTATTTTTAATAAAAAGTAATAAAGAGGTTGCAGCCGAAAAAATCCTTTAATTTTTTTTTTGTTTCTAAATTAAAAAGAAAATAATGAATAAGGAGGTGGCAAACGAAAAAAAGGCAACTCAATTTTTCTTTCCAAATGAAACACCAAGTTGCGCTGCCGTGAAAAAAATAGCAGTTGTGAGGTATTAAAAAGTTAGATTAGATATCAATAGAAGAAGAACAATGCTAATATTATATGACCAGCAAATATGACCCATAGTCATCACGGAACAGGCTGTGTAACTGGTGTAACCCAATATTAGTGACGGCACAATGCTCTCAAGGAAGTCCAAATTATTTTGAAGCCTTTGTTTGAAACGTCATGTCAACTTTTAATGCACATTCTAACTTCTAGCCCGCGATGATATGATTATTTTGTAATTGCTTCCTACTGGTTGTCATTCAGTTTAGTTTACACGGATTGTCGTCAAATGCGGAAGAGTGCATTGTTTTATTCGACCATTATTTTGAACGTCACAAAAAATTAAATTACTGCTTGACAACATAAAACGGTCACCCGAAATAGTTAATTAAAGCACAAAAACTTATTTTAAACATAATAATAAAAGTATGCACTGTTTTTATATTTAGACTAGCTTTCCGCCCGCGGCTTCGACCGCGTGGAATTGTATCTGTCACAGAAAAACTTTATCGCGCCCCTGTTTCAAAAACCGGGATAAAAACTATCCCATGTCCTTTCCCGGGACTCAAACTATCTCTATGCCAAATTTCATCAAAATCGGCTCAGTGGTTTAGGCGTGAAAGCGAGACAGACAGATAGACAGAGTTACTTTCGCATTTATAATATTAGTAGGTATAGATAGCCAAAAAATCTCACGGTAATAAGACACTTGATGCGATTTGATATGATCAACTTTTTATAGAATTCATTTAATAGTTTTATTAGATGCCTATTGTATAAAGTCTATCGAAAGTTTTTGCTATTAGTCTAGTAGACTAGTTTTATTTAAATACAAGCTTTTGTCGGCGTCTTCACCCGCATGAAATTTAGTTTGTCACATAAGTATCGTCATAAATTATAGCCTATATGTTACTATAATAATACTGTAAAGTTTCATCAAAATCTGTTTAGTAGTTTTTGCGTGAAAGAGTAACAAACATGTTAACATCCATACTTACAAACTTTCGCATTTATAATAAGTAAGAAGTAGGATGACCTTGGTGGTTTATTCTAGACTAGACGATTGTTTTTTTTTTGCTTCACATAGGTAATCCTCTATATAAAAAGCGAAAGGTGACGGACTAGTCAGTCCGTCCGTCAGTCGACTCACTCATCACGAAATCTCAGAAACCACAAGTGCTAGGAGTCTCAAAATTCAATGGGAGTTCATTTTAGAACGTAGGAGCTCACTAAGATGGGATTTTGCAAAATTCAACCCCTAAAGGGGGTAAAAAGGGGGTTGGGAGTTTGTATGAAAGTCCTCTATTTTCGAAGTAAGAAAACAATTCCATTTTCTTGCAGCATTCAAAGCGATGGCACTATACGTTGATCACTAAAAAGCATTAGGGACTTACTTTTTGAAGAAGTAAGTGGCTAGTTTAAAGTAGAGTCAAGTCATGTGGTTAAGGTAGATTCACAAAAAACCACGCAGAAACACATCATTTACAAAAAAAAAATAGCATTATTCATATTCACACTTACCTTTCCAGGCGTATAGCAAGAGCAGAAGGTGCAGGGGCTATGCGCATGGACACCACTTCTGCCTACTCCGCCGCGGCCGCCCAGAGGCTCGGCTACAGACCAGTGTACGAGGTGGCTTATGCTGAGTTGCCCTATGCGCCGCAGCCGCCCGCCCCTCATGAGATCGCCAAAGTATACATCAAAGAGCTGTGAAGTAAGTCTACAATACTAGAAATGTATTTGACTCTCTTGTGGCGTTCATATTGTTGGCATACAACGAGTTGTCGTACGCGCCGCAGCCGCCCGCCCCTCATGAGATCGCCAAAGTATACATCAAAGAGCTGTGAAGTAAGTCTACAATACTAGAAATGTATTTGAATCTCTTGTGGCGTTCATATTGTTGGCATACGACGAGTTGTCGTACGCGCCGCAGCCGCCCGCCCCGCATGAAATCTCCAAAGTATACATCAAAGAGCTGTGAAGTAAGTCTACCTAATATACAAGAAATGTATTTGACTCTATGGTAAATTCAACTTTGTACGAGGTGGCATACGCCGAGTCGCCGTACGCTCCGCAGCCGCCCGCCCCTCATGAGATCGCCAAAGTATACATCAAAGAGCTGTGAAGTAAGTCTACAAAACTAGAAATGTATTTGACTCTCTTGTGGCGTTCACATTGTTGGCATATCCTGACCTTTGTTTGTCACCTGTCATCCACTTTGCAAAGGAACCTTAACTTCGAACTCCTATGTTCTTCTGATTAATTTCGTTGCGGGTCCAATGACAGTTTAACTTTCCCCCGGGACAAACTTGACCTTCACTGGTTGGGTTTTTATTGGCGGTCAACCTAGATCCTGGCTACACAGAAGTTGCAGTGGTGGGAAAGAGAGATGGGAATAGTCCGCCCGCCCCGTATGAGATCGCCAAAGTATACATCAAGAGCAGCTGTGAGAGGCGCTGGATGCAGGCCGCTACGAACCGTGCGATGTGGAAGTCATTGGGGGAGGCCTATGTTCAGCAGTGGAAGTCCTATCTATGGCTGAAATGATGATGATGATTTGACTCTATCGTAGGGTTAAAGTAGCACGCTGAGTTGCTGAGTTGTCATAATAAATCTCTACAGCACTGCAACTATACGCTCCCTGTCCAATTTACACTCCAGTGGAGTGGAGGATTTGTCGTACACTACCAACACTGGCCAGACGGATTGGGGTAGTTTTTAAGAGGAAAAAAGTTTCCCCGATGGTTGTTAATTAATTAGTCGAGCGATATACGATACGAGTACTCGTAACTGTCGTAACATAGTGGTAGAGCCGCCTGCACTGATATTTAACATAGGAGTAGGTATTCAATAATACCCATTCATTTATGTAAATTAGTATTGACCTTATTGGTATCTATGTATAACTAGAGCAATTCTCATGTACCTACTTATATCATTATGATATGATGATAATCAAATACCTCCTGCTTTCAAGATTGTCTGAGCTTAACTGTTGTAGTAGAGCCCTGAATCTAGGTACATCACATTTTGCCCTATAGTAGGTACCTACTTATATTGATAACTTACGATTTTTTGAGATATTGACGTATTTTTTCTTTTGTTTCAGGAATTAAAAATTACTACGTAGTCTCACCTACCATATAATATTATTACTGTAATATTGTAGCATTGTAGGAAGCACTATTTTAGAGTAGGAAGCAGGTACTTTTTGGCTTTGAATCATATCTTAAAGATGTTATTTGTATATTGTGTGATACCAAATTATTTAAAGTGGTGATAATTTATTGTAAACGTACAAATTCACAAACCATAGGTTTGAAAGATTGTGATAAAGTAACAAAATTATTGCAAAAAATAAAAAAAAATGGTATTTATATCAGTTATACGAGTATCACCTATTTAATTGCATTAGAAATGTAATTGTACTTATTCTTCTAATGTAGAAAAAGGCTGGATGCAGGCTGCTACCAATCGATCAACGTGAAAAGCATTAGGGGAGGCCTATGTTCAGCAGTGGACGTCCTATGGCTGAAATGATGATGATGATGATGAATGAAGAAAAATGGTTGACTGAATATTTGGTATATTATCCTTAAAATTTAACCAAAAAGGATATTACCCTAATATCACTATTATTACATTCCCGTAACTTATGAATAATTTTCTTCAACATCTTGTTAAATACTAAAAATAATAAATCAAATAACAACCAGTGAAAAACAGAAAATCACAAAATCATAAATCGATAATGTAAGTACCTTTATAACGCCTACTTATTTTGAAACGAAGCAATCGTTGCTTCAAGAAATATTGCTAACAAAATACTGTAAGTAAACTTGGAAGCGGAAAACCACTTATTTTTACCTATTGAATTAGTGTGATGTGTAGTTCCTTATTGTTAAGTATTATTTAGTTGTGATAATAGATACTGTAAGCTGAATATTCTGAAAGAATTCATCAAGAATTTATGCGTGTACATATTTGGCGATGCAAAACAAAGTCAATTGTGAAAGTCAATGTAATTTGATCATTAAACATGTGGAGTAGATTGCATTTTTTATTTATTGTCCCTACCCTACATTACCTACCCTACATATCTACCTACCCTTCATATAATTTGTTAAATTAACTTTAAAAAACACTAAGCCATGTGCTTTTGATTTACTTATTACAATTTTAAGAACTAGGCTTGATACGTAAATTAGACCTGTTTATTACAATCGCTGTAATTGATAATTTTCTTCTGACTTATTTTTATACTAGTACAATCGCAAGTTAACTTTGTATACAGATACCTTCTGTAGATACTGTAGAGTGTAGACCATTAATTAATCACATATAGCAGCAGTGCTAATAAATAAGTGCCTTCGTAATAATCCAACAGTTTAACTACTCAATTCCCTGCAAATAATAACAATCACAGAGTCGCTGACAGTTTAATTTTACCTTTTATAAATAATGTAATCAATAGTATTAGTCAGGTAATCGTGTCTGGAGACTATAAAATATAATTCTACGCATATTTACAGCGTTATCTAAATGTGATAGTTTATACAAGCAGGTAAATAATCTTTAAGTAGATATCTGTGATCTGATTTCAATATTTGTGAAGAATGAAGATTATGAAGCCCACTTTTATGCATGCATAATAATAGATTGAAATATTTTTTTTATAACTGACTGACTAATGCCCGTTTTCACCATTAATCCCTAATTTTTAAGTGAACCCTATAAAAACAAAATGCCTGTTAAATGTTACCATATGGGTCACTTAAAAATTTGGGATAGATGGTGAAAACGGGCATAAGTAAACTAACTATATCTGTGGAATATTAATATCTAAAGACCTAAAACTATAATTTGGCACATTATAATAACGTCAAATCAGTAAATTAAATATTATGCTGTATTTTACGGTGCAATCTACTGAATTTATAAATTACGCCTGTAAACCGCCATGTTTGAAACAAATAAACACTACTTTGCACAAGCTACAAATTAACGAAATTTCCTTAAAGATGAGGAAAATGACTTAATTTACAACAAATTTTCAAACATGGACTCAGTCCTGGATCTGTCAATAGGCCGTATAGGCCGCGGCCTAGGGGCGGCAGCGTCCTAGGGGCGGCAGATTTCAGATGACGCTTACTCGATTTCAGAAGATAAAAGTTAAATAAAGATCCAACCCCACCCTAGCCTACGGGCGGCAAAACTGTAAACCAACCAAACACACCAGTTAGGTAGGCACTCATAAGTAAGTAGGTAAGTATTTCTACTACGTATGTTATTGTTTGCCCTCTTTCCTGGGTGTTTTAACATTGATAGCCTAAGTAAATTTTGCCCGAGCAATATTTAAGGCGAAACAATGTATTATTTTTAGATAAGCTTGACCAAACTCTGCATTAAATCATTAAATAGGTTTTGAAAGGCATCAGGATGATGTTAAAGAGCCAGAACAGTGGGGCGGGCTTTAGTTTTTAGTGTTGAGTACTTCGAGGTTTGATTAGGTGTAGGTATTTGGGTTACAGTTGATATATTGATTTTCATAAAACTATCTTGCAAGGTAGGCTCTTCTCTCTCTCTACTATACGTACCTAGCTAATTGGCTAAATGCATCGCACTGAAAAATATGGAAGTAATGATAATAAGCAGCATATTTTTGTCTCAACCCTATCCCACATTGACAGATCAACACAGAGTAGATACAATCAAATACTATTATCACACTAGTGGGTGTGACCACACGGCACAAAACAATACGCGTGAACATGTGTTTGATTCGCAGTCATTCGCCTTATATAAATAATGTAGTATTTTTATCTTTCACCGTTATTGAATATACCTACCTACTTATGTAAATGCGCGAGCGCCGCGCTCAAACATTAGTTGCCCAAGCGCATGTCAAACGTACGAAACGTATTATCGATTTTATCCGCCGAATTTTAGAATCAATCCGTTTTAAGTGTTATTAAAAACATAACAGGTAAGTCTTTAAAAAAGATTTTATAGTGCAAGAGACAGAAACAGAATAAGTCAAGCTTTTAAAGTAATTGTTAGTTATCTTTTTATTTAAAATTTCAAATTGTATTGTTTTTATCGCAAGAACCGGTTATTCTAGCGGCGTCTTTACTGACATCTCAATGTAAACATGCCAACAAATGTTCTCATTCATAGTTTTGAGGTTTCCCAAAGTTACTGTAACTAAGTAAAGGATTTTTAAGCTACAACCAAAACTAGTTTTTAATACCATAAATCATAGCATAAGGTTTTTTGGTGGGAACTAGTAGACGCGATAGGAATTGTAAGTGTGGCATGATAGTTTCGGTTTATCATCATAAACATCTTCCACGAGTAGGTACTTATTGATTTGTAATCAATACTTACATCTGCAGATAAACCAAATCGTTATTGATAAACAAATCAATATTGATGTGGTGAACCTAGTTACAAGTTATCACTCTATCTTTAGATTTCCCAGTAAATGGACATACGTAATGTAAATAATTTACTATAATATTAAAATAAGCTAGTATTTATATCATACTCCACGATAAATACTTAACAACATGTAAGTATTTGAATATATTACTTTACAGCAATTAAAGCCATAAAAATTAACATACTTTACGTTCTTTGACGGTTTCCTTGTGACATATTAATTGGTTCTTCAAATGTTATTGTTGTAGAGATACAAAAGCAAAATGACGGAAGAAGCAAGCAAGACGTATACCATTCATCCAGTCGTCAAAGAAGATACTGACAGTGTTATGGATTTGCTAAAACGGTTGGTATGTTTATCGTAACTTCATTTCTGTAAATACTAGCTTTCCGCCCGCGGCTTCGCGGGCGTGAAATTTTGTCTGTCACAGAAAACCTTTATCGCGCGCGTCCCTGTTTCAAAAACATAAAAAACTATCCTATGTCCTTTCCCGGGACTCAAACTATCTCTATGCCAAATTTAATCAAAACCTGTTCAGTGGTTTAGGCGTGAAAGCGAGACAGACAGAGTTACTTTCGCATTTATAATATTATTAGACCTATTAGTATAGATAGTATAGATTTGAGTATTTTTTCTTCACGAAGTTCAATTGTTTACTGACTGCTTCTTGATCTTGACCACGGCTTTGTCTGCGTAAACTTTCTGTCACAGAAGATTTTCGCGCCTCAAGAATTTTAATTTTGCCTTAAGATTTTTCGTGATGATGATCATCATCTCAGGTTACCAAAATTAGGGTTTACTTCTAAAAAGAATTTATCTGAAATTTCACATAACTCAAAACATTGAGTCCTCAATACGTAAAGAGGCGCCAACACAAAAACAACGCTGCGGTCGACCACAAAATTGCGTACTATATGATACGTTAATGATAACATTTCCGTTAATTAATTTCAGGACGTTTTACACAGAGGAACCGCTAAACGAGGCCGTGGACCTTTGGAGCGAGAACAATCCATGTCCTGAACTGGATGAATACTGCATACATTCCCTCCTCGAAGGCCTGTCTTTCAAAGCAGTGGATCCGCAGGGGAATATAGTCGGCGTTACCATCAGTGGAATACTCCCTTTGAAAGAGGTAACTACTATTATTAAGATGAAATGGGCAGCACATAAGACTAAAAATAGTGTTGTGTATTATAGGTGCATATAAGATGGATGCAACAATGTTTAGAAAGACACATCTTGCTAAATGCATTACAATGTCGTCTTTACAGATATAGGCTCCATTTTCAGTTCCTTATTGAATGATCTTGTAATTTCGCAAAAATTTTTGTTTCTTTCTTTCTTTCTTTCATTTTATACATTTGACATATTTCGACAAAGCGAAAACGCGAGTTACTCCGTTTGGTTCAGCTCTGTAAAAAAAAGAATACGCACTCTAAGACCATAAAGTCGAATTCGTATTAGTCAATACCACATAATTGTTTCCTCCATTGTCCAGGAAGAAGGCAACGCCATTCTAACGCAAGCAAAAAACTGCAAAAACCCCAAGTTCCAAAGGATCCTGTACATCTTAGCGGCACGTGAGGAAGGGACCAAGCTCTGGGAGAAGTTCCCTCAAGATGAGAGGCTGGTGGAGATCAAAGTGGCCGCCACAGATCCCAACTGGACCAGGCGGGGGATCATGAACAAATTGGTGCACGAAACTGAGTAAGTGGCACGACATAAATTTATTGCAAAATGATTCTTATTTACTGTCGTATCATTATCCTGTAATTTTAAGGACAGTTTTGGTTTTAATCAGATTTTACAAACATTTGAACCAATGTTTGACGAAATGAAACAAGAGAACAACTCACAAACCTAGCATTTTAGTACAAACGTCACGCAAGTGTAGCGAATGAAAGAAAATGCGCACAAGACAGCAATTGTAGCGCTTGTCTTTACACTCACGTGTCTGTGTCACACTTATCTTGGGAAATATAAAATACAAACAGAAATATTATGTAAAGTATATCGACACTTCAAACAGACAAGTGCATAGATAAACAATCCTTGATAGGTAGGTACACTACGATACGAGTTGCCTGAGGAACTATCATGTAGATTACGTCGAAATAAAATGAGACAACATCATTCATTTCAACCAAATAACGCCTACAGCTGGACAAAGGCCTCCCAAGGATTTTCACAACCACCAGTTCTGCCCACATTCAGGTGCTTCCCAAGACCTTCACCAGATCTCTGGACCAACTAGTGGACTACGTCTTCTGGTCCGGGATCGCCACTCGAATTTTCTGTCCCAGTGGCCATCAGCTCTACAAGCTATATGCCCCGCCAATTGCCACTCACTTTTAGCAATAATCTGATCAATGATCATTATGCTTTCAGAATAGCCACAAAGCAACTTGGCATCCGCCTACTCCGACTTGACACATCCAGTGCCTACTCAGCCAAGTCAGCCGAAAGGCAGGGCTTCACGTGCCTCTACAAAAGGCTCTACACGGACATCAAGAAAGACGGCCAGCCCCTGATTGTGCCGAAACCGCCGCACGTCGACGACCGAGTGCACATAAAGATATTGTCGAATGGAAAATAATTAACGACTAAAGTTTTAAGCACCTGCTACAATTTGGCGTCTTTTTTGGGCTCCCCTCTATCTGGTAGAATCTCATTACGCAGAAACTCATTTGGCATAACTCACTTGGCATAATCTTCTTTAACCGAATATTTATAAGGCATAAACATTGTTAAATATAATCATCGTTTGGTAGAATGTTTATATACCCGAATTTTCAATGGCATACTTTTAAGATAGCAGAATTTTATTTGGCATAATTTCGATTAGCATAATGTTTTTTACCACCATGATTATTTGGCATCATTATTTAATGGTATTCCAATGGTGAAATACGGCTAACATTTAGAGTGCTTACCCAATTTTTGGGTTTGCGTGTTTTTTTAGTGAATAGAGTCCAGCCTAAGACGTCCTTTTGTCAGTGTAAGATCGGCATGATCTAGTTTTCAAATGTACCAACGAAGGTCATTTTAAAAACTTGTTGGACAACAAAGCTATTGGTTAGGTTAGGTTAGACTTGCGACCTTACACAGCGTGAAGGCAAGTGAGCGAGCGAGCGCAGCGAGCGAAGCGAACGTGCCGCGGCAGCGGCCGCCGAGCGCTAAGTCTAGAATCGCGTACTTAAATAGTTGATTACCAATAAAAACTACCCAAAAAACGTAACTTAACCTCAAAATTTCATTTTCAGTGTATTAAAGTTATGCCTAAAAATGATTCTGCCTTACAAAATTATTAGTTTTGAATGTATACCAAATGAATGTATGCCTAACGAATTTCTGCGTAAAGAAGATTATGCCATCCGTTGTTATGCATAGTAAAATTATGATTAAAAAAGTGCTGCGGAAAAAGGTAGAACCCTTTTTTGCATACCAAATTAGCATGGGCGTATCACTTCAATGACGGCCGATGGGGCAGCAAGGTTCTGGAGTGGAGGCCGCGTACCGGAAAACGCAGCGTGAGACGTCCACCCACAAGGTGGACCGACGACATCATAAAACGACGATAGCAGGAAAGCGCTGGACGCAAGCTGCTACCAACCGGGCAACTTGGAAAGCATTGGAGGAGGCCTATGTTCAGCAGTGGATGTCCTATGGCTGAGATGATTATGATGATGATGATGTAACACTTCAATACAAGAACCTTTTTTACTAAACTCTCATAAAACTGATAATAACAATGCAAGGCTGTGGGCTAAATGAATGGAGCGCCATAATGATTAGTTTGCATTTCGTGTACTTTAACCGGACTTTCAAAGTTAAGAATTAAATGCTGCCCGAGTATTACCAAAAATTTTAAAACTTTAATGATCCTGTTATTTAATTTATTTTTCTAGACAACTAATGCCTTTTTCAGGTTTTTTTAAAATCTCTGGCAAAATTACTGGAGACTGGAGTATAGTTTACGAAAGATAAAGAGAAGCATATCTACTGCCTATCTACTTTAAGTGAAACAAAACATAAATAAATCATTTTTATGTTACGTTACGTTCAAAAATATACAAGATTCGAATAACGACGGATTGGCTCAATATCACGTTTGTCAATTTAAATACCATCTTTGATACGAGTATGCTCCTCGGTTGTCCTGTAAAAAAATATATTATGTAGGAGTCTTTAACTTTGACAAGGGAGACTAAGCATTACACTACTTGTAATAATTAAAGTTGGAATTCCCACCTCCATAAAACTTCTGTGCGAGTTACACGACATTTCGTCCGCTGTCATCTCCTTTATTCCAAACTCATTGAGCAGATTCTCAGCTGCATCTCTATAAATATTAATTCCATATTAAATATCAGTTTAGGTAATACTTTCATGCATAGCAGAAGTTAATATTATAAGACGATACTAAGGCTGAGTTGCACCATACGGTAACTATGACGATAACCGGTGCATTTTGTATGGAGTTTGACAGATTTTTGACGTTAAAGTAAGATGGTGTAACCCAGCCTTAGTTAACTTGCTAAGAGAAGATTTGACAAGTGAACTTTTTTCGCACTGCATAAAATTATCTACAAGTACATAGTCCAGTAGAATTTGATTTTAAATCGGAAATAATTCCTACAAAAGATTTTATTGCTTTAATGGCTTCATTGGTTGCCCATTAAGACTCTCCTAGGTTTTCGACTTCGACGGAGTTGTGCTTAAGTGGTGGGGGCCCCCGAAAGGGGCGTTTTTTCGGTTTATTTATTTATTTAGGAAAACCAGGGTTTTACAGTGTGTAATAATGACATAAGATAGGCAACGAGTAAACCACTTAGGCCTCAGCCTCGAACTTAGCGGGCAGCGGGGCGGCGGCGGCGGCGGCGCGGAAGCGGCAGGATCTTATGCGTAAAATCAAATGGACCGGTTCTCGAAAACAGCGGCGCGGCAGCGGGGCGGCAGCGGGCAACGAGCGGGCAGCGGCGAGGGAGCGGGCATCGAGCGGGGAGCGCACTCCTTCTTTTGCCCACAATAAATCGAGCGTTAGGAATAAATTTGAATCGAAATAAAATTGTCGCCGTTGTTCAGACATTTCGTTTGCGAATTAAAACAAATATCTCGACAACACAACCCCGAACACAACACTTCGCCGCTAAAGCGCCGCGCGAGCTGCCCGCTGGTTTCGAGAACGGGTCTGCGCTACCCGCCCCGCTCCCGCGCCGCCGCCGCCGCCGCCCCGCTGCCCGCTAAGTTCGAGGCTGAGGCCTTATAGGTTCCTACAGGTAAAAACAATTTAAAAAATTTTGTGAGCCTTTTTGTGAGGTATTCCGGTTATACCGCGTAAAGAACTTACCCTATGGAAAAGTGGTCTTCCTAACGCGAACGGTTGAAGGGCATTTAATCCTGCATTAAATAAGACCAAATTCATATGTTTTGGACAAACCGTTCTCGTGCAAATGTTCGGCAAAGTAGAAAATATGTGTATAACTCAATAGTTATACACATATTGAATATGTTATATGAATTTTTGGCGTCGAACCTTAGACCAGGCATATGGATAGGCAATGTTGTCGAGCAGGACGATAAAAGGAAGAGGGGCAGCCACAGTAGGTAACACAGAGTCGTTCAGGTAAGTGCTAGGAAGAGGTGCAGCAACCGCAGTTAAGGAACGGCTGGGACGAACAAGGATAGGTGCATCCAGCTCGTAAGCCTTGATAGGGTTACACTGGTATAGGCGCTCCTTTTCAAGACTTAGAAGCCTGCGGGTAACGAGCCATTGGACGTGGAGAGGGTCATTAATTATACACATATTTTCTACTTTGCCGAAAATTTGCACGAGAACGGTTTGTTCAAAACATATGAATTTCACCCTGACGGTTGAAACCCTTCAACCGTCAGGAAGATCACTTTTCTATAGGGTGAGTCCTTTACGCGGTATAACCGGAAAACCGAAAAAACGCCCCTTTAGGGGGCCCCCACCACTTAAGCACAACTCCGTCGAAGTCGAAAACCTAGGAGAGTATTTATGGGCAGCTAATGAAGCTATTAAAGCACTAAAATCTTTAGTAGGAATTATTTCCGATTTAATTCATTTTTGTGTTTAATTCTACTGGCCTAACAACCCGGTTAACCGCGCACCTAACAGCCGTGACGTCACATCGTAGTACGGACGGGGCGAACGCGAGATGTGCGGATGAGACTCGTGTTCCAGCGAGGTACGCAGTTAGCTCAATTGGGTTGTATAAAAGTACTCGTGGTATGAATTGTATCTCCAAAGAAAATTAACACAAATACTTACTGATAAATTTTATTAAAATCTCAATAGTCAACATATCAAAATGTATATTTACAACTGTGAGGTAGCTATAAAAATAAATATACTCTACAGAATCAATTGTTCGAGTCAAAAGATTTACTTATGATTAATATGTAACAACTTTTACTCTATATTTACAAAATATCACTGTAGGTATTTATTGACCAGATCTACTAAATGAGTGTTTTCGCGTATGAAAAATCCGCCAGATGGCAATACGTAGACGCGAGGTCCAAATGCTGCATGAATTTTTGACATGACATTGACACATATTTCAAAATCCACCAATCACGCAGCAGTCAGACCCCACATCCACGTCCCGCCATCTAGCGGATCTTTCATACGCGAAAACCCTCATTAAATAACTTCTTATTATATTTTGAACTCAAATATCTACTTTTATCATTTTAATAAATACAGGGAGAAAAATTTTGTTTTACTATTGATTACAGAATATGAACCAAAAAGAATTCAAAAACTAATGAACACACTTCACAGTCTACCTACAAAACCATAAAATGGACAACAAACTAAATAAATAACAAAATTCTGGTCAATTTTAGTAAATTGAACTAATAATCCACTAATTACTACATACTGTACGCGCATGAATTGGTACTTTTTTAGTACATTAAGCAACATTATTATCGCTTTATCACCGAGTTGGATAACAGACAGTACATGAGTTTTAAAAATTTTAAAGCAATTTTTTTCGCAACTTTTCTCTAGAACTTGGCCTTCACTGTTTTGGTATTTGGTTTTGTTTTCGGTTCAAAAAAGGTTTTTGTCTGATGTAAGCCGCAGAGATAAACATCGAGCCTAACGATTCAATTCGTTCACGTACAGCATCTACATTGCTCATTCGACACCTAATCTCAAACGCTTAGTTTTGGCACAATTTTATCTGCTCCAAAAGGAATTAATCGTCAAAAAATATAATCATCTCTTAACAGTATGCTGCCTTAATTGCGGTTTAAGATATTTTTTTGCTCTCGATTTATGTCTGAATTTTTTTTATTTGCATTTGAGACTGGGTAGCTAATTGAACTAAAATAATCAAAAGATCACTTTTTCTCGCTGGCCAGCGCCTGGCCCAGTGAGGCGGTGGCGACCGTGGGGTTGGCAGCCGTCACTATCTTCTCCAGCAAGAGTCGCGACTGCACCTGTGGTCAAGAACAAACCGTATAAACTGATATTATGGTTCAAAATCAAGTGATGATTGAGAGAATGACGCACCTGAGGGCGGAACGTATGGTATGATACATACGTATAAGCAAAAAGAGACGCAGGGAAGTTAGCTTAAAGGACATAATATTATTATCTCGTCGATCCGAGTTGCCATGTACTTACTACATGGTGGGTGCTTAATTTTTTATTAACATTTAAAATACGAAAACAGATTTTACTGAATTTTATGTAAATGGTGTAACTTACATCGTTCCCATTGCCTTGTGCCGCGCTGCGCACCCTTTCTAGTTCTTCAGCGAGAAACTTGGACTTTTCATGAGCCTGACGGCGTTGTACTACGTATAACTCACTGGAAAGTAAACATAAAACATACATAAATAGATATGAAGAAACAACCAATCTTAATAATAGGTATGAAGTCTATTAAAACAAAGAGTTTTTGGCAGCAAATCTTTTGATACAATTTATTTCTGTCAATGTCGAGTGACATTGCATTGCTATATAAATTAAATTTTTAATAGATTTGTGAATCGCTCTGAAACAGAGCGGGAAGGGAAAAGGCACTAGACGACTATGATATTAAAAATCGTAAAGATCGAATCGTAAAGAAAGTATTAATAATATTATAGGCAACAATTGGCTTGATCTAGCCCTGTAGGCCTAAGAAGGGCGCCGCGATAAGCATACATTTTGACGTCGATAAAAGTTATCACGGCGCGCATCTTAGGCCTACAGGACAGGCAAAAGTGGAGCATGTTAGAGAAGGCTTTTGTCCACACAGGAATTAGCAAAACAAATATTTTTAATAATTCATTTATTGTAACCAAAATGTTTATGTGGAAATAAAAGCTTTTTATTTATTCATTAAAGATAAAATAAAAACCGTAGGCGTAAGCGATGCTATCTAAAAACAGCAGGCATTTTGTAGAACCCACAGCAAAAGGTGCGAACACATCTCTCCCAAAAAAAAAAATGGTCCACTATGTTATGTTCTATTATACAATAAATTACTGCAAAAGAGATTCCTCAGATATGATATAAATTGAAGTCAACTGATTACAGCTATTTTCATTTTTATAATTAAAATTATTGAATACTAACTATAAATTAATAAATAACACATAAACAAATATTTTGTCCTTTCATTTCTACTTAGTTTGACATTAATTAATTGTGTTAATCTCACTTTTTTTTTAATTAAAAGATAAATTCAAGTAACCAATTATGATTAATTGAATAAGTAAATAATGTTAATGACCTAAAAAATGTTTCTATAATTGTATAATTCCAGTAATTGGTATTAATTATATAGAATAAAAGACAATTATAAATCTAAACAGACAATAATTGTTCAGAGATTTAATTCTTAGTTGAATGTGTGGTTAATTAATTGATGAGTTTAATTTTATATCTCAACACACACATGAGTGTAGTATAAAACAATGAAAGAAAAACTAAGAGTTTGTTGATGACAGTTTCATACATTGCTTTTATATTAAAAGTTTTTGTTGAAGTTTCATTAATTTCTGATTTTGTTTGATCGATTTAGATTTTTTTATATTTTCACCTTTCAATCAACTATAGCCTGACCAGGAACATAAAAACCCTCGCCATGTTGCGGAAAACTAATGGTACTAATTTCTTTTAATGGCAACAGTAACTGAAAACTTCATTGACATGTCACCTTGCATGTCAGTCTATTGCTGTCAAAGTGTAAACAAAGTTTATTTTAAATGTGCGCAATTGGTTTTATGAATTAAATTGCTAAAATATTTTTATAGTCGTGAAAGAAAAGTGGTTCACAATGTGTTACAGTATTTGTCGAAGAGAAATACTAAGGGTTTGGACAACATTTTCATTGAATAATGTTTCCGACAAAGGTTGTCAAATTGACTGACATGTTTATTGTATAGTACAGTCCACAATGAAAATTAGCTGTGGTTTGTTTCAACTACCTATTTTAAATTTTTTTGTCACTTTCTAAGTGTTGAATTTTATGGGATTGGGAAAGAAGTACCGAGTTTGAAGCGTTCATGAGCAGACATTGCAGTTGAATATTCAAGTTCTGAATTTGATTATTGATGAATAATAAAATAAATTCTACTAGCTCGATTGATGGTTTCATTTAATTTATTTAAATCAGGTTACCTATAATAATATTTTTTCGTTAATTTATGAAAATATCAAATTGACCCGTAATCCTGAATCCTGATACATAAAGTTAGCCTATTAATTTAACACAGGTACGACTGTACTCAGTGTTGCACTATCAAATGCAATTGACGCGCCACTATGCCAGGGTTTTTATGTTCCTGGTCAGGCTATATGTATTAACAATAGCAAAAGCACTGAATTGAGAATACTTGCTCAAAAAGCTGTGCGGGTTGTATAGTATACTTAATCCATTATTTGTGATAAAATTATCATGTACCTAATACAATTTTTCAATAGATCATATTATTATACCAAAAAAATATTAATGTTTGTAATTATTTTTTAATAGTATCTGTATCAAATTCTCACTTTGTCATTATAATCTAAAACTACTTCAACCAACCGTCTTATTGAATGCCAATCCTTGTTCAATTCTCATGCCTAAATCAGGGTGGATAATTGTAAACAACTTCACTGCCCGTTCCTGCAGGAATCCAGCCACTGGACCTAAACTATACAGAATGTTTTGGACTAGCCGACTACGCTCCTCCTTACTTAACTCGTTGACATACATTTCCGTCATCTGAGCAAAGTTATTCGGAGCATCTTGATAAATATCTACCAGATCCACTCTCCATTTACTTGCATACGGTACAGCTCCATTAAACGAATTTGGGTAGTAATTTGGACTGTCTCTTCCATTCTCTTTAGTTGGAGGATCACCGTCCCTATTGTAAGCGTATACTGCAGATTGAATTGGGCAATTGACGTGTATTTTGTTAAAGTTAGCACCGAGCCGGTAGTACTGCGCGTCCCTGTAAGAAAAAGTGCGGGCCTCAAACACTTTATCTGGAGCTCCCAATATTCCTGGGACCAGATTCCCCGGGCAGAAGGCTAATTGCTCTATCTCTGCGAAATAATTAATCGGATTTTTATTCAACACCAGTTTCCCGACAGGCCTTAAAGGATACTTGTCTAGAGGTAGAACTTTGGTGACGTCAAAGACATCAAAGCCGGCCTTTTTCACGTCATTTAACGTCAGCACCTGGATACCCATTGTCCAGCTGGGATACTCCCCGTTACCTATTGCCCTGTAAAGGTCTCTAGTAGCGTAATCGGGATCCTCTGCTGCTATTTTCCTAGCGTCTTCGGTGAANGCTCGATTGATGGTTTCATTTAATTTATTTAAATCAGGTTACCTATAATAATATTTTTTCGTTAATTTATGAAAATATCAAATTAGCCCGTAATCCTGAATCCTGATACATAAAGTTAGCCTATTAATTTAACACAGGTACGACTGTACTCAGTGTTGCACTATCAAATGCAATTGACGCGCCTCTATGCCAGGGTTTTTATGTTCCTGGTCAGGCTATAAAATTGATCAAGTGATATTGTTTGTGTCATAACCTTGTCTTTCCTGTCATGCACAGTTGTCAACTTACTGACAAGTAAATTTTAAGGCTTCCACAGACCAAACGCGGGGCAGTAGCAGCGCAGTTTGAATGCGGGCCCGCGCAAGTTGTAATACAAGAAACTCTTTGAAGTGTGTCACACCAAATGTATTACTATGGCGGCCATATCAGTATGACACACCGGACGCAGAGCGGTATTAGCGCGTTGAAAGCGGTTTTCGAATATTTAAATATTTGACAACCGCCCGCGTTGCAACTGTTTTGAAACTGCGCTGCTTTCAGTGTGCCTCAACCGCGCTGCAACTGACCCGCACTGCTTCTGACCCGCATTTGGTCTGTGGAAGCCTTTAATGTAAAATTCAAATATTTTGCACTTTTATTAATGTAAGTACCTCTTGTAAAATGCCTAGACCAACAAAAGATCTACTTCCATTCTAAGTACATATTAAAAGAAAATGGTTATTGATAAAAAAAACGTGAAAAAATATTAATTTACCTTATAACAAACACCTGCACAAAAACACCAACCAATGCCAGTCCACAGCACATCAAAATGATCACATAGTTCGGCACCTTCTTCACTCCAGTCATGCCATAGTATGCTTTCTGATCGGTGGTGCTTTGTGTCTTTTGGGTGGGATGCTCGTAGTAGTAGCTCTGTTGACTTCTTCGTATACTGAAAGAAAAATGTTATCTGATTTGAAATGCCCAGTGAAACTGATCCAATCAAACTAAAGTTTTTTTTAAATTAATTAAAAATATTGCTATTAATAAAATAATGCAAAACCTTATTGATAATGTGACATTTGGTAAGGATTGGTGCTAAAATTTTGTGGTTTTATCATTATTTCTCTGATAACTACACTCGCGAGCAAAAATATGGAATCACCCTATTTATTCCGAGCGATCATAAGAACTAAATGACTAATAGAAGATCAATAAAAATGGTACCATTTTAAAGGAGATATTACAAACTTAAAATTGATACCATAAATACATACAATACATAGTAGAGATTGCAATCCGGATTATTCGAAATTCGAAAATATCTGAAAAATCCGGATTTTGAGGCTTTAAAAAAATCCGGATTTTTACCTTGAAATCCGGTTTTTTCGAATATTTTTACCCCAAAAATTTTATCATAAAATCATAAACCAAAATATCTATTGAATATNTGTCGACAAGACAAGAAGAAGAATTAAAAAAATATTTTATAAGTAGGTACAAGCAAGTTTTTATTCTGAAATGCATTTATAAAAACGAAAAAAATAATGCAAGGTTCAAATAATTTCGAAAGCTTGTAGCGCAAACCGAAAAAAAGAGGAATAAATTCCATGCGTGATAATAAAATAAAACGCTTTTCTTCAAATACTTACATCTTTTTGAAAAAAACTACGATTTATTTAAATTAAATTGATGGTTTAAAAAATTTACCCAATATTCGAAAAATCCGGATAATCCGGATTTGTACGTAACACAAATCCGGGAAACCGGATTTAAGAAAAATCCGGATTTTGCAATCTCTAATACATAGTCATTCAGTTTTTAAGATCGCTTGGAACACAAAGGGGTGATTCCATACTTTTGCTCGTAAGTATATTTCTCATATTTTGCAAACTTGAATAACATCTCTTGATGGGCCACCCTTACAATAGAATAAAATTAACTAAATAATCAGATTACTTTAGAAATCACCAACTAAATAATTAATATCTTTAGTTAAATTAATGTGTAATGAATAAGTCGACTGCCGCAGCAAAGTATAGTGTAAGCACAAAAGTTGGTCATGATGTGTATTACACAAATATAAAAATGTTGACTTGCAGTGCAGCTAATAGATTTTTTCTTATCCACAACGAGGAAGCTCTTGGCTAGATTATCACAGTTTAGAGCCACTATGGATATGCTGCTGAATAATGTTGCTGAAGCCAAAATTCTAATATCGACAATCTTATAAAAAAAAATGTATTTAAATTTACTTGTATGGCACATGTGTTTTATACACATAAGTAGAGCCTGAGGTTTCGTTTATGCTGTCGTAGCGGGCACGGCTCCCGGGCTTGCTGAGCACATTGTAGGCCTCCACGATCCGGACAAACTTCTCTTGAGCGGCTGAATCTTTGTTCTTGTCTGGATGATACTAGAATAGAATAAACAGAGAGTTATAATGCATTAACAGCTTCCCAGTCACTAAATAACAGTAAATTAGATGCCAAGGTACTAGATATGACACAGATGATTTTGAAAACAAACCTCTTTACTCATTTGAATAAACGCTTCTTTGATTTCTTTATCCGTGCAGTTTTTGCGCAACTTTAGGACATCGTAGTGAGTTTTTCTAGCTAAACTGTAAACAAGAACACTTAAAAAAACAAAGCTCACAAAAATATTTATTGTTTTTCTAAAGCACAGATTCAATACATACCTGTAAAATCGTATAATGGTGTTTAATGAATTAAAATCAAGCTTGCGTCTTAAAAAATACATTGCGAATTTATCTAAAATGTTGAAAGTTTTTCATGGTATCATTGGGCAATTTCCATTTTTACAGCGAAAAATATTCAAAATGTCAACATCATGACATGACTGACATAACAAAACAAGTTGGCAGTGTTCCGATTTGTACTAGATGCCTATTATTCTTGTTGCGTTACTCACATTTTATGTGCGATGATGCGCCGTTTGTGATATTTTAATGAGTTCAATAAATATGTAGTAGTGAATTAATATTACTTTATCAATAAGAAACATTCAAATGTTAATTATTTAACCCTTAACACCACTCGTGGGGGACCTAGCTCCCCCACCGCATACTTTTTTGCAAATAAAATAATTATTTAAAATGCGACGCGGTTGCGATCCGGTGTATTCCCAGTGATGCTCGAGAGCTAGCAGGGGACGGACGTGTGCGCTGTTCACGTTTGCGGTTTGTAAGGTACATGCCGTTGCGGGACCTAAGTCCCCCACGAGTGTAGTTATGTAGGTATTTTTCCATATTAGATTTTTTATAAATTTGTATTTTTCATTGGTTTTGCTGCAATATGGCTATAGATTTGGATCCCCAGCAGATGTGTTGACTTACCTGAAGATCTACCAACACAAGGACCTAGTCAAAATAAAAAAAGAAAGAAATCTAGGTGTCATGTGCCCACGAAGTAAAGATAGCAATACTCCCAGAGTTTGCTCGAAATGTATGAAAAATGTCTGTCATATTCATGTGAAAATATATACCAAATGTCAGAAATAAGTTTATTTTATATTATAATCATAATGTTGAGACTAATTATTATTGAGACTGCTAAGACATTTTTAGAATAAGATAAAAAAATATGGGCCAACTATTCCTATTGTGATTTTTCAAGTTCTTAAACTTATTGAAAAGTTTATGTTTGTTTTTGTTCATAAGTATATTGGTTTATTAGAAAAAAGTTTTTTTTGTTTTGATATTCTAATTTTCAATATTATTTGGGGTAGTGAAGAAAACACTATACATGTAACTAGTTTTTTGGTAACTTTTTTGTTTGTAGCTAGAAATAATATTTTTTTATGTTTAAAATACGATTAAACCTGTTTTTTCATTTAAATATAAATGTTTCTTGTTTATTTTATGAAAAATTATCCTAAGATATTTCATGCTAAATTACTTAAATATTGAATACAAATAGTGGGGACTTAGGTCCCCCACGAGTGTAGATGTGTAAGCTGAAAATACCAAGTGGTGTTAAGGGTTAAATACATTTAAGACAAGGAAATTGTAAGTTAGGTCTAAGTTCGGAACACTCTAACATAAAAAAAAATAAAAGACTATTTTTATATAGATGACCCACGCTGAACTGTCCCGCCAAACTCAATGACAGGGGGGCGCTACCATCGTTCAACTATATGGTTTCCAACATGGCAAAAATCTGAACCAGCGATCCGGTATTGACGGTGGCGCCCCACTGTCAATGTCATCGATAGGACAGTCCAGAGCCCCGATTACGGTAACTTTTAACGTCTACAATCCAGACACGCTTCATCGACGCTGCGATACGATTGGTCAAAACAGCTGACGTACGCTGTTGAACGACCAATCGTATCGCAGAATCGAGAAGCGTGTCTGGATTGTAAACGTTAAAAGTTACCGTAATCGGGGCTCAGTATTTTGGAACTATAGGTACTATTGGCAGCTTTGAATGTCACAGAACTGAAATGGCGCGAATAAAACTGTATGTATCACTAAAAGTTAACAATATTCCAGGGATTTGCAGTGTTAAATTTTTTTGCGATAGTAGGTATTTCTCCCAAATGTTTAATAAAGTGCATGGTAAACAGTGTAATTTGTTGAAGTATAAAAAATTGGTGTTATGTTTTGTTCAGCAACGTAAGGCACATTTAAGTTAGTATTATTACTTTTGCTTCTAATTAGCTACTCGTAGTATGATTAGTTATATGTTTAATGTGTTATTGTTATTTGCTATTGTAATAATTAGTCTATGTCATGGTGGTGGTCCTTCTCCTTCTCCTTGTTTTTGAGTTATAGCTCTTACAATACAATCCTTTGGTGGCTTCATTAGGGTGTTGTTTTTCTTATTATTTTTCAATAAGTATGGATTTTTTCAAAACCTCAATTACTTTTTATAAAAATATAATTCTTTCTTTCATCAAATCCACAACCTCATAGTGCAGCGCAGTGTTAGCGGGTGGCGGGTGGGTGCGGGTGGGATTCGACAGACGAACGCGGCGGCAGTGTTCCCGCGAGCTGTAGCGCCCGCGGACGTACGGTCATGCGAGAAGCAGCTGGCAGGATGGCCGAACTCGAGTTCGAAGCACCGCTCGCGCAAATTGAAGAGGCTGACGACTGCCTCACCACGGCGGACTACCCGCAAAAAACTATCAACGGCAACGACATACGCCTCAACAACATTATCAATCTCAAAAGTGAAATGGTCAAAATGAAAACCGACTCCAACAAAATAAACGATAATGAAGAACCAAAACCGGTGAAGTGTAAACAGGATAACATGCAAAATGGCGAGGGAGACAATTTCACGGAGACTTTCTCCGGATCGCTGGAGGACTTGGTGAACACTTTCGACGAGAAGATCACAAAGTGTTTCGGGAACTATGAGGAGAGCGTTGAAAAGCTGGCGCCAGTGCAGGTTCGCTCGCAGGAAGAGATAATGAACGAATGCCAGTGAGTATCAATTAGCTCCAAATAAGCACCTAATTAATGTGTGTAAATTATGATATCATCAAGCCTATTCAGCGCAATGTTTGTGAATTTTTTTGCTTTTTGAAATTGTGTAATATTCGAAGCATCTACCTAGGTTGTTTTAGATTAGTAAATAAATGAAAGAAAATTTTTATACAAATATAAACAAAAAGGGCGGACTTTGCGCATGGCGTTTACGGTCTTGTGATCGATCGATGGCACGGCCAAGGGGGTGCGTGCGAGGGTGGCCTCGATGACGCATCCACCCGCGCGCCTGCTACGTCCCCTTTTTGTTTCCAACTCAAAATGACGGGGTGGCGACATAGTATGGCACGCGACTGTTACGGTTTTATCAAAAACATTCGACACAGACATAACAGTTCTTTGCGGAAAACTTTATGTCTGCGACCGCTTGCATAAGAACAATGTCATCGTCAGTATAAATGTATTACAGCATTATCGCATTCAATTGCGTATCTATTTTTATTCTTAAAATTATTTCTTCAATCGTTTTCTATACGTATTCCGTTTAAAATTTTAATAGGTAGTAAACATAGCTTACTTACATATTTTATTGCAGCATTCCTACGCAATAGATACTTATTATTAATTTATTGTTATTGTATGTGAATGTATCAAATATGTTGGCTGGTTAATTGGTGTTAGATTTTGACTTAATTGCTGCAAGTACGCCTACAGTTATTATAAAACGCCTTGTCTTGAAAATCATCATATTGTGTAATGATATTATTTTTACGAACCTTTTTATAACGGCAAAAGTTTCTCACATTTGTTTGTTGTCTCATGTATTGTTTTGAAAAATTCTCAGAAAGCACTAAGCTTTCTTTATTACGACTACTTACCATTTTTCTTGAGCTTTATGAGAACAAAATGGCATTTCAATGCATTGTTTGCAAAGAACCGACGAGAAATAATTACAAACTGGAAGTAGATTTCTCTACAAAGCTAACTTTGCAAGAATATTTATCGCCTATTTACTTTAACTGAGTATCATTTTGAGTACCCAGCTAGCGAGACATCAAGTCATCGAGTCTGGCAGTTAAAGAAAGAACACACACAACTGTTGTTTTATCTAAGATCTTACTTACCAACCTAGCCATTAGAGCGTTTTAAAAACGATCCAACTGATAAAAGGTGGACTTGTGTAAGCATAAGTTTGTTCTTTGTGTGTCAAACTGAAATATTTGGACGCGATCCAGATGACCCAAATGCCAGAAAGTCTGAGGAAAGCAATAAACGGAATTTTACGTGGATTATCCACAACCAAACAAAAATCATTAATTTTTGTTAAAAAACTACTAACTCACTAGCAATGCGGTTTAAATGTGCATTTTTTGTAACATCATCTACACAAGCATCTGTTTTTGTATAAAACATTGTAATCCAAATGTTTCGTTGCAATTTCCATTCCTTCCTCGCTTACTTAATTATGCGTCTCTTGAACACCTGTGGTTGTAAATTTCCAAAAGCCCAAAAGGACGACAGGTGCTTGCATTGATTTGAGACCAGTCCGAGATTCGAGGACCGCAGCAGGTGCTACCCCACCTTGTCCATTTTGTATTGTAAACACCTTGCCTTGTATCGAATATCTGCCATAAGCGGATGTGTATTCAAATTGGCATAGGGGCATACGAAGCCCCTATCATTTCCTCGCAACGATTGATTATTTTAAGTATTAGGTATAAACTATACATAGCATATTAACATAAAAGGTCTTAGACCTTAGTGTTTTCATTATGTTAAAAGACACCGCCCGTTTCTGGTGTATATTTTCTTGGGAAGGTATCCAATTTAGCCGCAAAAGTAAATTTTAACTTCTCATTATTCAACGTAGCTTATCGTCGTGACTCTGTCATGAGCTGTTCACTTCCTAAAGTAATCACAGTTTGATTCATTGATTTATTATTTACTTTAATAGTTATAATGTAACCAGTTTTTTGTATTTGTTGTTTGTTACCTGCATTGAACCTTGCTTATTTATTTAGTTCATCAGGCCATGAATTGTTTTAATTAATACGAATTACGAATATAAAAATTACCAGTTTAAACGTTAATTTACTAAAACATGAGTTTTTACTCAATCTTCTTGAGACCGTGTTATAATAAATCAACAATAATAATTAGGGTCTTTTATTTCTCTCGAGCACTTCATATTCATGGGGCAACGTTTTTGTATTTTAATGAGCTGCGGCACACGACACACGTCTGTCCGTGTACAGCGCTTGCATAAAAATGAAGTGCTTAGTGCAGTATAATCTTTTGCACGATTATTGTTGGGATGCTACTCACCGATTGGTAATAACTGATGATTGTACAGTCATCGAGAAGAGCAAGAAAATGTAATTTAATGTAGCT